GATGTATGTCAGTTGCATAATCAGTTGTTGTTTGAGCAACTGTACATTGTATCATAAAAAGTCTTGATATTTAAGGTATGTAGGTGACGAGACTTGACTTCTTCAAGCAAGTTAGTTTCATCAATTGAAATTTCCATACTTTCTTAACTACTTACAATCCTTTATGAGGATACTGTAACATCTCTTTCCTACAGAGTATCATTGATTAACTGATAAGTGCATTCGTTTTCACAGGTGGGGATGGGTTCAGTCAGTAATGAGGTTTGAACGATGAAAATTAGATGTTACGGAAGTTATACACCTAAATAATCACTAACATAGATTATGTTTATCCATATTCCCGATTTGATTCGTACATAATTTTCCGAGTTAACTGTATGCAGCTGTCATTTAGAAGAAAAACTTAAAATTATGTCTGTTAAATAAAGCACTTGAGAATTTCTCATCCCCAGGTTCTGTCTGCTTTCTTTTCCACTAAATGAAGCCTGATGATAGTTCTGAAATGAGGTAGAGTTAGCTGCAAGGCGTAATATAAACTGACGACTGAGTTGAAGCAAGTACAATCTTTATGTTGTTGAGGAAAAACACTATTTGGACTGCAGTTATCTTCATTGGAGTAAAGTTCTACTATTGTCCTAAAAGATGCGTCTGTTTGAACGGATTACTTCTACTTTGATTATGACACAGCTTGGAAGTTAGCCATGAAATACATTGAATAAAATTATTTTATTTCCATATACAGTAATATCCCTCTAATTTGTGGAAAATGTATTGCTGTTTCCTCTCTAAATAGCAGTGAAGAAGAGACCTTGTTGTTCAAATGTACCACATCACAATAAGATCGGTCCAGGGTCCTCAAAATGAGTTTATGTTCGAAGTTTGTATGCTTTTAAAGGAATGGTTGTAAAGGTAAACTGAAGTCCTGGAAATTATCTACATGTTTTGAAGGTGAATTATATATATATATATATATATATATATATATATATGGAACAAATCATCCGCCAGATCCATATATTCTATTGTCCCTCTGGTATTTTATGGCCCTTCTGATTTTATCGGAGGGTTGGTGTCATTTTCAGACGATTTAGGAGTCCTTTGAAGTAATCAGTACAGCTTTTCCTCCATTCCACCTCTTCACCAACTGGATTTAGCCCATTATCACTCACTGGCTTTACTTGCACTGACCTCTTACCGGATAGCAGCCTGGTTGATATAGTATTCTAAGGTGTCTCTTACCTTTAGTCTGTATCAATATCCTTTTGTCAGTATCCAGATGTCTTCCCTCTCCTTCTTGGCTAAGATTTATTTATTTATTTTTATTTTGATTTACAGCTTGATTCCACACCGTATTTTCAGTACAAGTATGGAATTTTCAGCATGGATATCGGTAGCCCAAATTCAGGCCGACCATAGATATCGGGTGTGCGCCGGCAGGGGATCGAACCCCGGACCATGTGCATGGTCGGCGAGAGTCCTAACCACTGTGCCACCGATGCGAATACAGCTTTCTTTCCACGTCACCTTTACAGAGTTCTAGTGTTCTTCCATGCAGGTTTCCTCTGTGATGTTGCTTACTGCCCCCCTCCCACTTCAACTGGTGACTACTGTAAAGGTATCCATTGTAAATTTGCCCTTTAGTTTTTGAGTGCTGCACTTGAACTATCTTCAGCTTCTTTGAATGCTTTCATCTTGACCTCTGAGGTTTCTTGCACTCCTCTTCTCGACCTCATATCTAGTAGGCTGTCACTAATTTCTTGACATTGAGATCAAGCTGATCTGACTTTTAGTCTGTCTATCCTGTGCTTATTCACGCTAACTCCAATCAGTGAAGGTGCAGACTTCTGCAAATAATCATCCATCTCGTCAAGTTTCAAATATTTTGTGGACATGGAACATGTTTACTTTCAATTCTGTCACAAGGCATATCGGTCGACCGGTTTACCGAACATTTTCACCTGCCAGCATAATCCATCCTTGAATTGAGCAGTTTTCCCGATTCCAGGGGAGAGTAAGTTCACTTTTCGTGTGCTTTTGAGTTTCAGTAGCGATAAGGCTTCTAGACCGACGTTCCCTCTTTTCTAGTCTGATGATCAGCTAGTAAACTAGGCGGGGATAACTCTAATATCAGTTGCATGGATTAAAAGAATAATACATAAAGGGGAATCTCAACTCAGCATATTCTCACTGTCAATTGTATTTCACGAAGTCAATTCGAAAAATCGTGCTTGCAAACTTATTCTGTTCTCAACTGTTAAAAGGTCTGATTTTAACGCTAATGACTGACTGCTCATATGTGCAGTATAACCAGATCTGGTGCTCATTTGAATTTAAACAATTGGATAGTCCCAAAAAACTAAGCAGTTGTAAGTGACTCATTTTGCGAGCGGTAAATTCCAAAATCTAAGCATCTGTGGATCTTATTCAAAAGACTGATTATTGAAAATAGAATATTCTGCAATTATAAGTGTTCTATGAGCTGGTTGGTTTAGTTGCGGAGCTTTCGTCGTCCTTCTGGACAACATCTTCAGCGCCATATTTAGCACAAAGTGAAATGATTTAAATTTCTTCATGAGTGATATAATTGCGTCTCCTGGTAACCATCTTTACATATGTATTTTCTATTGACTTGGATTTTAAACTTTCTGGTCACCTGATTTACTTTTTATTAGTTGGTATATTTCATCTATATTAACGTGTTTGTTAATTGCATTTTCGTTTGAGTACCAGGCTTCTAGGAATTCTCTGGCACTTTTCGTGTTTCCTCTGTTTAAGATTTTGACATGACCCCAATCAAATTGATGGCCATAATTGTCTGTATGCATTGATACTAAAGAATCCATATCATGTCTTTTCACGGCTGATTTATGTTCTTGGATTCTGATTCGAAGGGGACGCCCACTTTGGCCGATGTAATGTTTGTTGCAGTTCATACAATTTATTTTGTAGATGGTATTAATTTTATCCCCTTTTTCTGTTGGATCTTTTGGTTTGCATAATATCGAACAGAATATTCTAGTGGGCATTTTAGATCAATTGAATCTTATTCACATATGTATAATAGTTTCACTAAAACGTTGTAGTGCACATCGAATGATGACAATTTAACCTAGTATTTGAACAGCTGATTCCATGTGACACTTTGGAATTAGTCTACTTTTAGGCTTGAAAACCAGTGATAGCAAGTGGGTTAAATTTCTGTTGGTGATTGCCAAAAAAATAAGTCAAACTACAGTAAAAATTTATGTCGTTGTATTGAGTTCAACAATCATAGAAAGCTTTATAAGATAATTAATTCCTACTCAGAATCCACTACTCTTGACTTATAATGACATAATTCGCAGCTTCAGCAAACTAGTCTGCTGATAAATATACACACAAATTGAGACCCACCTACTTTGCGATTCCAACATGACTGTTAGACGTGGAATACATAATGTCAAATATTCAAATATAAATGCCTTTAAGGCAATTGAATGCAAGTACCGTAACCAGTGGATCAACAACACCAAGAATATGATAATGAAAATGGTGGAACCAAACGAAAACGAAATCAATTAATCCCAACTCAGTTATGATATCTTACATGTAATCTAACCACTTTGATCCGAAAACCATTTAAACCGTATGTTTTTGACCACAATGATGTCAAGTTTTAAACACTGTGATGTAGCTGAAAACTAGTCAATAGCATCTATCTTTAGTATTTTGTGTTACTTGCTTTCCCTATTTCGACTGCTATTTACTTTGCAGTTGCAAAAAGTGAACGCTAAAACCAACCTAGTTTTTCGCGTAATTTCACATAATGCGGATAGCATGTATCGTATAACACACGTGTCTGCTCGTTAGTCAACAAAGTAATCCTGTGAGGCATCTGCCAAAATTTTAGTAAAACTTCGACTACTTTTTTACAGTTATTTCGTTATCCACTTACAATGTTCGTGTTACCACAACAGAACTGAAAGTAGGCTATGAAATAACTAAAATGTCTAAATTTAATGGGAATAAATCACACTGGGAGAAAAGATTATACCCTAAATCTTTATGAAGTGTTTACATTAATACGAATCATATGCATAAAACTAAAGGAAACTTTTGGAAATTAAATATATTACTTTTCACATTTAAATAAGGATGATCTGTTTATGTGCGAGTGTATTTGTCAACGTGGCTGAATTGAATAAACAATGAAATGAAAAAAGTTTTGCAAAATGCCTATAGTGGTTCAGAGTGTACAATATGGACTTGTAGACGATTGATCAGTGTATTCATATGTGTAGTAAAGTGTATACGTACTTGAGTTCAGAATACAGAAAGTCAAGAGAAACAGAATAATGAAGAGTGAAAGTTTGATGACATGACTTACAGTAGTAAAGGAAGGATAACTGTCCTTGTACATCACATACACACACCGATCAAACGCCTGTACTCATTATCAGTCGCATAGATAATAAAGAGAAGAAAAACCTGGAAGCTCAGAATTCTACAATTTATAGAAAAACACTTAGTTCCTCACGTATACAGAAACGTACTACCGACAATCTTAAGCAACACAAGCGGCTAAATGGGCTCGAAAGAGAAAATTGTGCCCACACTACTGCTAAACAACGAACAAAAAGAGTGTAGGTAGGAAAGCCATGCAGGCGCAGAATAAAATTAAAAAAATTCAGTCACAAATATTGCCGTGAACTGAGAGTAAGTGTAAAGGAAGACAAATTAAACTTAGCCACACAAGACAGTGGAAGAAAATTAGGAAAATAAGTCAGTAGTATCAGGATAGACTAGAATAGAATTTCATAGTAAAATGTATCAGTTAGGTAAACATCATTCTGTATTACATCAGTTGGTACGTGTTGTTGATTTAGTTTAGGGTCATAAATGCGTTGAAAACATACAAACTGGCTAAGGCAATTTTATTGCTACAAATGATATCACCACGTTGGACAGAAAAAGTCATTCGGGTGCTGACTAGATTTGCATTTTTTCTTTGATTGGCGAAATTAGCGTCCACAGTCTGAACACATGATCATATCATCACTGGTAAGAAAACCTCTGCCGACTAAATTGCAGTTGCATTTCCCACACGAAAAGCATTCTGAGTGCCAATGACGGTCCTCGAATGAAATAAACTTACAGCCTCCGAATCCTGTAAATCGGTAAAAACGTCAGAAAACTTAATTGCATATTACAGAAAAGCTGGATTCAAAATTGACTGAATTAGCACCAGATGCACCAGCTGCTGAACAGTAATAAACACAAAACAAGCCAATATAATCACATACTGTACCACAACAGTTAATATTGTTATTCTAACCAAAAACAGAGGTTACATGATTATCACATAAACTTACTGTGACTGATGAAAAACATCATTACCACACATATCATCACAGAAGCTGACCTAATGACAGATTTTTTTAATGCAAAACTGCGCAAAAGTACAGTACTTTAGATTGTCATGCTACAGTAGTAATACAATGCCTACATGAGCACAATATTTAATTCCAAGCAGATGATGCACTGGGCTTAGCTTTATCAAAATGATTGCTAAAAAAAGTCACCCCGAGTTGACTGTCTACAACCTAGATCAAAAAGTTAAACTACTTAGACGCTGAGTCCACTTAGAGCACGATAATCGTAACGTCATAAGGAAACAGCAATAATGAAAGTACATATCACTATTATCAGTAATCAATCCATAAAATTCTGAAACTGTAAGTAAACTATCCTTTGCAGTTCATAAAGCGGACGAAAACTGATATGAAGGATTAAGATAACGTCTTTTGGGTTCAATACCGTAACCGAAATTTGATATGGGTTGGTATGACCGGCATTCGTAACAATATTGGAACTAAGTTTCGGTACGGGAAGGAAGCAAACAACTCATTTTAAGAAATACCAAATACGGATTTCAAATCACTTCTGAACCGCAGAGTCCACACAAATAAAAAAGAAGGCAGACTGCTTCGAGGTGGTGGGAACAACAGATCTTATTATACAAAAATACAGTACACATAAATATTGACAACCTAGGAATGTTAGGCCAATAAACAGATAACTCAAATGGTTACAGAAATTTAGGCTTCGTGGTTGTCACTTCACCACTAACATTTTGCCCCGACCCCGTAGCTTAAATATATCCAGATTAGTTTTTGCCGGTTTTAAAATTAGCTGGAATCACTAAATGATGCGGATGGTTTGTTTAAATTCCGAACTCATAGCAATACTGAAACTAGCACTGAATTAAAAGTCCATGACCGGTTTTCTAGAGATACTTTGTTTGAACAACCCAAACAAGTCAAAATAAATCTATGTTTGAAATTTCGCAAAACATCACTAAATGATCGTAATTACCACTTTAGATAGATTGAAAGAGTATGCTCCATTAGACTACATACAATAATGCACTAATAGTTGTTTGAAAGACGTCAAGGATCCTTTAAAGAATATTAAAAATCGTTCACAACACCTTGGTAAATCAATGTTTCCTCAATCAGATAGGGGGATCATTTACTTAATGTAAATAAATAACACTACACTAACAGTAGGAAGAAACATCTGCTTTATGGCTTTCAATCATATACGGGCTGCATAGAATTACAATAGTTGTACAAGGAAGACCGAAGCTATAAAATGGGACGTATTGAAAATCTTTGGAAAAATAAAATAAAAATAACTCGTGTTTCACAATCGGTGCTAACTTACAGTAGAAATGAGGCTCGTAATATTGAGACTAGTATGCTACAGAAATTAAAAAAATATCAGCACACGGCTGTGTTTGGTGTAACTTCTGAAAATGATTCAGTGAAGCGAGTTAGTTTCAATATCTGCTGCATGGCATGCAGTGTCCAATAAATATCTAGAAAATCTAACAGTTGGAACCTTATCTCTTTAAACATTAATCCATTATATAGTCAGAAAACAAAGTGGAATTCACCCTTAACGTTTCAAAGTACACTTACTGTGTAGCGAGTGCATTATGCATAAACATACGTCGTTTGTACAACGTCCACTTCACATTTCTTTCACCAAGATCAACTGAAGTGACAATAATAATTAAGCACATATATTCTGCTCTATAATATTTGCTTCCTGTTCTTAAAATCACATATATATTGTATAAATAAATAATATATATGACACCTGTCATTTTATACACCATTTTTTACTTCGAACACCTGAAACATCACAAGTTCTTTCGTGCATATTTACATTTACACTTAGATAATTACTCATTTAGACTGAATGCAACCGACAAGAATCCAATGAATTAAAATAATGCCATCTGAATCTGTAAATGTCGTTCTTATTCGGTTGTTTAAATCCGACAAGAAAATTATGAGCATGAAGAAGAGAACAATTGATAATAAAAGACAATACTACCCGCTCGTTTGAGATTATATCTAAACGATTATATCTAGCTGGATGTCAAAGGCAAGCTGTTCATGTGCGTATCTACTGATCAGAAAATATTAATTCTCTAGGCTTTCAGCTTATTATATTACGATAATAAAAAATCTTAGTGTCCTTAAGTTGACGTTTAATTCCTCATATTTAGTCTATCAAGTGACAGTGAGTTACTATTTCTGCATTGTCAATTTATAAGGTTATGCAATTTGTCCAGTCAGTGAATTAATCACCATTCTGGAAGGATTCGGAGGTCTTTCTCGATGGAAACATAGCTTATTGTTATAAGGAACTTTACCTCAGCAAATTTTGCGTCTGTTTCGCACTGCCTATAACTACTTCAACTTAGGTAACTAGGTAATATGAAGACCACAACGTAGACTGCAATACTCTAAATACTGTTCACTTCCTGACACATAAATTTCTATCAAGTCAGTGAAACTGAATCAACAATCTGACTTGAAACTTAGCTTTGAACCTTTGATTTTTCATATTTCCTATTTCGATATCCAGGTTTAGTGCATGAGTCACTTGTAAATTCATATTATATCAAATGATTGACGGTAAAATTTATTTTAAAATACAAATTGTTATTTCTATTTATCGAGTGATTACAAACATATACGTGAATCCTCTTTTTGGGATCACCCCTGAACTGAGTTGCCCAGTTGTTTCATAAGAAAATCACTAATTAGGTGACCAAAAACTCGGTCTAATTTTGTAGACCATAATCACTTTTGGAACACTGAGGATGGATATTAAACATAAAAAACTACTGGCAACATTGATGAGTTTAAGCAGACCACGCAGTGTACACCAACTGGTTGGTTTGGCAAGATGTAAACTCCCCAGTCGAGTATGGTCACGGGTCCATGGATTTTTTCGTTCAAGAAATCCAATAAGTGATTGTGAAATTAGCATCTTTAGAACGAAGAAGAGAAACAGTTATTAAAATCCTAGATGTACCACTCTCTAACATTACTGGTTTCCACCAAATAGTATACTAAATATTGGATATGTCATTATGATACAATCAAGTCATCAGACGCACAGAAGTCTGAGATTTTGCCGTTCTCATTCATTTCACCGAGAACCTATGATGAGTTCTTTACCTCTGTTGTTTTCTCTTAGTTCGGCATTCATATCACCCATTAGGATTTCGATGTCGTCATTTGGGCTTATGACCATTATTGTCTGCATCTCCTTCGCGATCCGAGCAGCCTTTCAACGTTCCAACATTATCAGATATTCCATGTTTCCATGCTTATTTTGACTTTCATTAAAAGAAGATATACCGGTTGACTGGCTTCTCAAAGGCTTTTACCACCCGGCGCCATGTCGTCCCTCCGACTCCGGCGAAGAATAAGTTTATTTTTTAATACTTTATGCTTTGAATTTTTTGTAACTGGATTGATTACCCGTGTAGGGTCGGTGGTCCAACGCCTAACCCTCCCTCTTTTTCCCGGCTTAAAACGTAGCGGTAAAAAAGACAGAAAGAATCATAAACAACCAGGAACTCTGGGAAAGAAGTAACCAAGAACCTACCCTCCAACAAATATACGCAAGCAAACGGAGATGGATTGGGGGTAGACAGAGAAGACAGACCCTCGAGAAGAACTCTAGCAGGAAGCGAAGAGTTGGGTTTCCAAGGGTGACAGGGAGGTGAAAATGAAAGCTTCTGGGCAAAAGTACAGCAATACAAAACGAATACGGAGAACATAGTGAAATTTATATATGCTGTTGAAGTCCCATTTTCAATTCGAAAATCAAGTGAATAAAAATAATAATAAATCTCATCATGATCAAATAACGGGACACGGAATAAAGTATATTAAAGTAAACCAGAAACAGCAGAAAATTTACCTGTAATTGGCTTGGTGCATTTTGTGCATTTTTTGGCAAACAGATCACCATAGCAATCTGCACAATATGGTTGTTCCTCTTTGGAGGTGAATTTTAAGCCTGCCAACTGTTTTGAACAATTGGTGCAAGTGAAACATTCTTTGTGCCACGGATTTCCCTTATAAGTAACTCCACCGCGACGTATAACCTAATGGAATGTATAGGTTTTGAAAAAAAAAGGTATGGAAAATGAAAACCTTGTAATAGCAAGCTTAAGATGCTAATGCTTAAAATGTTAAGAACTTAAGGAACTTATCAGTAGTTAAAAACTATCAGCACCTTACGAACATAAACGCGGATATTCAGTTGAAATATTATTGAACACACTGGTCACCAATTCTGGATTTATGGAAACTACTACCTTAATTAGACGTTTATTTGAAGCAGAGTTCCAAAGTGAAGGCTCACAATATCTCTAAATACGAAAGTAGTTTGACACCCATAATATGAGCATTAGTGTTTCATTTATATTCAGTCAAAACCCAGTAACACAAGTGTATAAATTAGGATTAAAGTAAAAAGGAAATGCTTAATTTTGATAACTTGTGTTCAATAAATTCAGTATCTGTGTTCTTAATTTTGTTTCGGGTTAGATCTTTATTTTATTTCAACAAACATCGTTGAAAAGCTTCCTAAATGCTAGCGAAGATCTAAAGTACACAAAACCTGTGGAATAAAATATTTTCCTTAAGCTCAACTGAAGATATTGCAAATTATTCATTTAAAACAATTCCTGTAGTTTAGCGACAACTTATTGTAAACGCATTTAGATTGTTGATGAAATAACACTAAATGCACTTTAAATATGCAACATTAAAACTTCGATTGCATATTTTTATTAGACTACAGAATTCAACATACATTCTTCGATAAGTGAAAAAAAATGATATTTGCAAATCGATTCCCAATGTTTAGTTATGAATCACAGACAAATTACAAACAGTTTGCACAGAAGAAAAGCCATCGAAAAATCCAAAGGGATATAGAGTAATTGCTGCTTCTCTCTAGAAGCATATTCTTTCGCACTGTCAGACTATTAAATTCACACATTTGATATTTTCTTTAGGACGAGGAGCAGTCCTGCATGCTTGCGATAGCAACAGGTGTTTCTATTATGTAAGAAATAAATGACAACTTAAAAATAACTTTTTGCCAAATCATCACGTCAACTACATATACAGTCAATTCCACGTAAATTTGTTTATCTGGAATATAGCACACGGCGCTCAAGTTTTGTTTGCTGGACGAGTATATTGGATTTTATTTTTAAAATCTAATGGGTAAACAACCGCTTTAGAATATCTGGAAGATTCTGCTACTAATAAAAAGGGAATGGGGCTATAGAATATTTAATTCGGAAGTTGAATAAATTTTGATTGGAGCATTCAACAAATAAGAAAATATCGCTGTGAGCCGCACCTTTTAAGCAAAACAACATGATACTATACTCTGCTACAGTGTCCATTTTTTGTTCATACAAATAACCAGTATAAGAAACACAAGCAAATTATACCAAAAAATGTTACTCTTGAGAAGTATAATTACTAAAATCATATGTTACATCTACTGCAGACACTATTAAACCAAAACAAGAATCTCTAGATAATTTCGAAGGATTTTACAGTAGTTTATGTGTTTTGATCCTGATAAGAATTTGCGATTAAATTAAATTTGAGTTAAAATAAGAGTTCTTAAAATGGAAATCAGTATTACTTCATGACCACATTGCATTCAACATAGAATGCTTACGTGAGAGTTATACAGAAGATACAATTTGTATGAAAATTTAGTATTTGAAGCAGAGTCCCGCATATGTTTTAGTGATATTGTTAACAACTACTGAATGATTCAAATGAACTGTCGTCAAGATTTGACCGAATAGTTCTAAAATATTTGGGCGCCGAGTGAGAAGTAGACATTTGTAAAAAAGTTCGGACCAGATTGCCGAACGAAACGTTGCAATTACTCATTTCAATCTCGCTGAGACTTTACAAATATAAATTTTTTACAAATGTCTACTTCTTACTCGGCGCCCAAATATTTTAGAACTATTCTGTCAAATCTTGACGACAGTTCATTTGAATTATTTTGCAATCGAATTAAATTAACAAAGAAACTGTATAACTGGCACAATCATCGTATTTTCACTCTCCGTTGTCTGCAACAGAATGCATATCCTAAATCCGTAGCTGTCGAGTCACCTGACAACCCCAGTAGGTCGAATAAAGCAGCTCAATATTCAGAAAGAAGACAATGCAATAAGTTCGACAGGGTGCTTAAACTAAACTCTAATCCTAAACACCATAATTTTGAAAATACGTCTAATCATAAAATTCTATGTACTGGCAGTTTGAACGGACATGAAGGTTTGATGTTAGCTGATGCATAGGAAATCCTGATTAATAAATAAGAATGGACATGTATCACTAGTTAATAATACTTGGTCAAATTCCTGACTGTCTATATCTTCCTATGGAGACGTTAAGAAATGTTTTACAACTGTTTACACACACACGCATGCACACTCTGTTTAAAGTATTTAACAAAGGTAGACCAATATTTGTTAGTCCGAGGTCAAATTTTGATCACAGCTCATACAATTTTGTTTATTATACTTGTTAATACCTGTGTTTATGAATCATGATTGGACAAAGTTTTTAAAAAAGATGTGCCTTTTATATATATAAAACCTCTGTTATGTTAATTTTGATTAATTTCCCTGAAGAAGTTCGGACCAGATTGCCGAACGAAACGTTGGAATTACTTATTATTTCAATATCACTGAGATTTTACAAATATAATTTTTCACAAACTATTGAATGGTACACAAAATACGACAACGCGTGGTTTTACAATATACCTCAAAACGTTTTTGTCTATTTCCATTTTAAAAACTTTTTTGATTACAGAAACGAAATTCAAACTTACTTCCGAACACTTAGTACAACGTTGAGCGTATTTTGCCTCATAACATGGTACACAGACCACTTGATTTTCCCGAGGGATGAAACTCTTTGCGCCAATTGGTTGTTTACATTCTACGCACAGGAAGCATTCTTCATGCCACTGCTGTCCACGATATTCGTATTTTCTCATCCCAGCTTTAAATACGCCTTGGCAACCATCACAACGAGCGGCGAAACGATCATCATAACAATCAGAGCAATAAAGTTGTTCTTCCTTGGTTGCAAACGGTCGGTCTGCCAATGAAGTTGTACAAGAAGAACATTTGAAACACTTCTCATGCCAGTGCCTTTCCTTGAATGAAAGATCCTACGAAAATAAAAAGAACGTTAAGCTATGAAGCGTAATGGCTGAGTCAGAAATGACAACAGAGTGGAACAAAAACATCTACCTAGGAGACTTAATATATAGTCTCCTAAATGCAAATACAACGAGTCCATGAAATATATCGATAAAAGCAAAAATTCAACCTAACTGTGGTTCAGCATGCACTCTAATGAAGACATCAATCTGGAGGTGGGCAAAACAAAAAGTAGTGGTTGAGTTAATTAAATAACTGTAAAACAGATACCGAAGTTGGTTATGTGGTGAAAAAAAATTTATGATCGATTTAAATCAGTATTAATGAAAAGGAGATAATCATTAGACGAACTTAGCTTCTAAAATGACACACCGAAAAGAGGTGCATGAGAAAATAAACACAATTTGAAAACAGTAAACTGATGTTCAATAAGACGAACACGAAACCACAAGGAGCACAATACGACGATACAAAGCGATAACACTGGTATGACACGCGTTAGGTGATGATGAACAGAAGTTTGAAGACTTTCACCTGCCTTGATTGTATCACACTGCCAGGCTTGAACGACGCTACAACCAGGACCCAGGACATGTGGCATTGAACAAATTGGATGAAATCTAACATTCGATTGATTAGAAGACATATACACTGCGTTCCGTGTAGACTCCGACATATCACGGACAAGTGATGTGATCCCAACCTCTGGTTTTAGACCACCCTAACAGTTATGTACAATCAGCACACAAGAATGCAAAAGAATTTTGCATCAGACTTTGACATAACATTATAAGCTACATTGATTGCTGTCACAACCTGAGAAATAACTACTAGTAATGAAAACACAGAAAAAATCAATGATTAGAAGTCTATGTTTTGAGCACAGTAAAAACATAAGTTGCTTACAAAGTGGTTTTCTGAGAGATGTGCAACAAATATAAGACTGTTGCTCTAAGTAGGCATGTAATACAAGAAAACAAATAGTGGGCTTATACGGCTAATAACTCTTCCTGTTAAGAAAATAATTATGCTTGATCATACACAAAAGTAATTCTGTGGTGGAAATTAATATTTTTAATTCATAACAAGCTATTGACTGCCAGATTACAGGAAAACCTGAATTAACTTACAACTTCAACAGATCCTTATAATCATGCATACGAGGCATTTGTTACTGTAAACGTTTTACATACACTATATGTACATACTGCTAAATTAGTTTATCCAATTGTTACTATTATTATCATAATTACTATGTTCTAAAGTCTGAAAGCACTTTGAAGGTCTACAGATAAAAGGGAATCACCGGTATTCCAACCAACAGTCTACTTGAAGAAGGGGGCATGAGATTTTAGACAAGTATAATTTGGGAAATACGGTTGAAAATTTTTGGAGGAGGCACTCAGCTTCCCACCACACACCATTGCAAATACTTTCGTGTGTAAAAAATTTATTCTGAAATCGGAGTATGACACGCAAGAATTGTGTGAATGTACTTCTCATCCAGTGATACAGACTCTACATATTAGGATTATAAAGACACCACAAGCGAATAGCTTACATAATCATATCCGGTGATTTCTCTGCTCAATATACAGAATGAATTTTGAATACTTATAGAATCGCTGGTGAGATCAATAGTCTTAATATTCAACCGTAATCATTAAGTAGAAGAGGCAAATACCTAGGATATCTCCATAAATGTTTTATGGCCTTCATGTCGAATAAGAGTCGCAACAATTATGACCATTCGACTCAAACTGTGCACTGTCAATTTAGATTCGACTCTTAGAATAAGTGAACGGAATTTTTTACCACTATCATTCCGTATAAGCAAGACATTAATGTAGAAGTCGTTTTATATATACCTAACATTGTTACTTTAGTGCCAAAGTAGTAATGCTCGGTCGTATTCAGTCGAATTCAGTACCTAATTTATAAAGGTTGCACTAAATGCTCACAAAGTGGCCAGTATTCTATGCCAGGAAAAGTGTATTGATGATAGAAGCGCTCGAAAAACTAAGGATTGAGATAGAGTGAAACTCTTGGACCGAAAATAATTTCCACAACAAAATGTCAGTACCATCTTCTAATCCTTCGTAGTTAATGATTAATTCCGTTTAAGTGCCTTTGAGGATATGATCACCTTATCAAAAACCAAGGTTACACAAGAACTACATATCTGAGTAAAACGCATTTCCACTTATCGACTACGATATGCTTTTCTTTTGTAGGTAAAAGTAACCATAAGAATTTAAATTAATCCTGCTACTACCATTATATATTACAAAGGGTAAAAAAAATTTTTTTTTAATGCTATACAATCCATTTCAACCACTTTAATATTAACTGTGGTGTGTAACAAATTAGTGACTGTTAAAGCAGTATATGGAGACGGAGAAAACTTTAAAAAACCTTACTACATCATTCACTGTGTATTATCATGAAGTGCACAACAATAAAAATACATGGGAAAAACTACTCACCTTAGAATCACAGCCAATCTTTTCTTTGCACTGCTCACATGTATTTGCAAACTTGGCTTCGTAACAACCCAAACAATGAGGTTCATCATCGCGTAGTATATAACGCTGTCCCGTTAGTGAAGCGTCGCAACTGCGGCAAGCGAAATGACCCGTGTGATGCTCTTGATCCATAGCTCTAGTGTATTCCTCCGAGAAAATAAGCTAAGGCGTGAACGAAAAGTTTAATCTCTAAATGCAACCACAGATATAAGTAGCAGTGGTCACAAATTTAAACCAATAAGCGATAAACACCAGGTGTGTCTCAGCTGCATCATCATCAGGCAACTACAAATATAAATCCTTAAAAACTAGACCAATAGCTTCACTATAGTATGACAGACATAAATATATTAAAAACGTGACACACGTTGTGCAAGTATGCAGTGGAAGACATGTCAGCTAATAAACCAATGAAAATTCGATTGGTAATTTCCTGGTTAGACATACGATGAACCTCAAGGTCTATGAGTTGACATTAAATCGAGCGATAAAGTTTAAGGTCATCCAGTAAGAAAATCTATTAGTCAGTAGTCGAATGGTGATTACGAATCATGATTGGTTGAAATAATATGAAGAACAGACAAATCATCAGCCTGCTTTTGAGATTTGATGAAACGTATCCTTCCACGGTTCATGAAATTAGCAAATATACTCTCCATTTATGCTGTCATGTGGAGATTTAATTATAGTTTATGAAGTAGAGCGCTTGTGTTGTTAGCTGAACAATGTGGAGAGTCGAAATGGCTTGCAGCAGTTTAACTAACTAACTTACAAAAAAGTCCTAAAAGGAGGTTAGCAATTATCAAGACAAAAAAAATGTATTTAGTCGAAGGACCAGCCACGGCTTTTAAACATGTTGGTATTACGTTAAGTAATATTGTAGTGTATTAAAACAAGTTTAGAAACTATAATCATTCTCTTAATTTATTTAATAGAAGTCATACTACAGAGTTCCTCTTTAGGCTATATATTTGTGGATCCATGACATTCAATTTTTGATAAGTTTAAAAACATTTAACGTAGTTTTGTGATGCAACTATTTTTTAGATCTCTTTGTTTAAATTAGTATTATCACTGTTTGCCAACGTTTTTAACTGAATACTTTCGATTCCACCTAACTTAATATTCTTTACCTAGTAACCTACTTTATGCTTTATACTTAGACATGGCATCGCCAGAAAATTAGCTAGAAAACGCCATATTCATTTCTGCATTGATGTACAGTTCCAAATGTAGGAGTTATAGGGTCAATTTTCGTGAAAACTACCCACCCACTGTAAGCACCGTAACGCAAGAGAGTTCGAAACTAAAATTTATTACTTAATAGTTAATCGAATAAATATTGGAGTGTTCATTATGTTTAGGAAAAAAGATCTCAAGCACTACCGATCAGAATCCCCCTGCAATTAGTGTAATCTTAAAAATCTAGATTTCATTTCTGTGTAGATATTTTTAAAAAGGGAAGTATACTCACATGATCACATGTTGCACACCGTGGTCTGATTAGTTGACCATAGTGTCGCAAGCAATAAGGACGACCACCCGACCAAGCATAGCAATAATCAACTAATTGTTCGCTGCATGTTCCACATCGAAAGCATTCTAAATGCCAAGCTGGTGCGAAATCCTTAGCATCACTAGATGGAGCACCAGAAACTGCTTCAACGGCACGATGTTCTGGTCGAACTCGAACACAAAACTCGCCAAATTTTATGTTATTCAGACATTCTGCACATGGCTGAAACAATTTTAAGGGGAAAAAAGTAAAGCCTTTAGATTATGCGGGTTTAAAAAAGATAGTGAAAGTGCATAAATGCATTCAGCATTTCAATATGCATGCGTTACCAAAATGTACTTTCTGTCTCACGAATTCCGCTTTATTTATTTTCACAATGCAACATTTGCAACTTTCTTACAGCTATCAGTGAACATGCACTGTTAAAATACGAAGTGATTCCAACGTCCTGGCAGTGTTCAGAAAGATTTTTGAATAATGATTAGGGAAAGGAATACACAAAAAACAATGGATACAATGACCACTAAAGAAACAAGTTGAGTATTTTGGTAATACATCAATCATAAAAAATTAACCATTCTTTGATTTAAAGCTGCATTTCATAGAGAGTTAATATAACCTATGAATCTCATGAGAGATGAATGGCACTGAACATATGTCTAGTCACAACTTGTTACTTTTCAGCAGTAAACTAAATACTCCTTACCACACCCAGAAATAGATCATTAGACTCCTCTACAAGCGCATTGCCACTCAGACAAGGGAACAGAACCTACTGGAGAACACTCCCTATTTTATACCTAGTTGAAGTATACCACCGTTGGAATTAGGTGTTAGTTAGGAATATCTGGTTTCGTTGTTCATACAAGAAACTGCTTCTGGTGATAGTCACAAAATATGGTAAATTGACAGGAGTCATAAAAGTGAATGCCTCAAGTTTGAGCTAGTGGTAATGTTCATAAGGTGAGGTGAGGTAATCTCTTAAAGCTATTAGCATTCAATAGCGAAACGTCAGTAAAAAATATTGTTTTGTTTTTCATTCACTCAGAAATACAAAAACATTTATTATAATGAGGTAATCTCTGTCTAGGTACAATACACAATTTTGGGTACGCAACCCATCTTAGGAGGAAACTGTTATACAGTACTCATTGATATTGATAAGCTGTCAAGCTAATGCTGGTCCATGATAAGACCTTGTTTTCAATTCATAAATCCCGCATATTTAACTCGAAAGAATGGAAATCACTAAAGCCGCTGATGCTGAAATTTTTGTCTCAGTGGAGAGTATGACTGAAGAAATAACATAACATCTGAATTTTGGTGATTTTCTAGTCAGTAAACTGCTGTTTTGAGTTAAGTTGATCAAAACGAAAGCTAAGTGGAAATTAAAATCACAAAACTTATTTAGATAACAGAAATATTCAAATTAAAGTAAATACCTATACTATTTTGGAAATCGAATTTTTTCTTAGTGTTGAGCATTTACACCTGATGCATTTAGGTGAAGACATTAAACATATTTGAATTAATCTTCATCACACTTTGAATGATATATAACATAGAAATTGTCATCATTTTTAATTAAAAACATTTTTGTACCGTTAACAAGTTTTATAAAAAGAGAAGCACTTTGTCATTAATAGACTGCTGAAGACAATGACCCATTGTAAATTAGATTAATGACTTTTTATAAGCCACCTACATAGGTACGACATGTTTTTCTGAAGTGATATAAGTGATTGTTCAAATACGAGGTTGAAAGCCACCTAAATTGATAAAATTAAGATGAAGCGTATACTAGAAAAACTTGATATTTATTGTTACCCATATTTTTCGCAAATTTACTGGAGTCGGAAATCCTCCGCCAATGAATTATAATCTTGTGATTGATAAGTAGTCTGCTAGCTTCGTAACCTGGCTTCAATTCCTCCAGCAGGTCCTGAGTGTGCACTAGAGGTGAACAAGTGTCAAATGCTTCGTGAAGTTAAGTGATTTCTTAGCTAATGTTCATGAAATTTATCACTCAGTTAACAAATTTTATAGAAAAATGTATATAATATCCAATTTGCTTACTTGTCCTGCATCCTGACTCATGTGTTCAACATTGCCGATGCCAAAATCACGTCGATTACGCGAATTTCTGAAGCGGTTAGCCTCACGTAATTCACTTTCCAAACTGTGATTTGCATCCGGAAGTTGCGAATTAACACGATGATGCCAAGAATCTTCAACTGCAACTGCCGGTTTTCTGTCTTGTGGAGGAATCTGTCTTCTAAGACGCCGACGTCTTAATTTATCTGCGTTTTCACCACGTGGTATTTCATTAGCTGAAAGACTGTTGAGAAAACTGTCCACCTTTGATTTTCAAAGTAAACAGAATGTTTTTAATCATTTAACTGTCAAGGTAATGAGAAAACTGTGACCATACCATGGGTCAAGCAACATTCTTTTCTCTTCTGAGATATACCAGAAATTTACACGATAACAATGAAAGTACTTGCTTTCAAGTTATATGAATTATTTTACTATTCGCTAACTTCATAACTCATGAAAATTCCTATGGTGTAATACCCTATCGTCATTACTAAATTAAATCTCTTGTTATAAGTTCAAGATCAATCAAGTTTGAAGAAATCACAAATTTGGCTCTCACGTCTGCTGTGGATGAATTCCAGGTGGGTTATAAACCTACAGAATTCCCTTTGCGATCACTCCTCTCTTATTTTGGTTATTGGTAAATTAGTTCATACGCTTGGTTATAAGCTACATAATAACAACTACTAGCAAGACACGAAGATGTGTATCAAGGAGAAAGTCTACACACGATATACAAAACGTGAACCATGTTTATAAATGTGAGTGGTTGGAATTTAGAAGAAATGAAATGACCCGGCCCTGGTTGCGAAATACCCAATATAATGCAAATAAAAGCATAGCATATACCTTATTTGCCCTAGGTGATTTATTTCAATATCTCTAACAGTGGAGTTGTTAGATAAATAAATTTACCTGTCTTTATATTTGGGTGAGATTTATCACCGCTGAAGACGGAAAATATAATAGAAGTTACATATTTTAAATTATGTATATATCGCAGCATCATCTTATTTATTTTTATTTATTTATTGTGTGCTTTTGTGGCAAATATAGCAAGTTTAACTGATACAGTTTTGCGTAAAGTTTTCTGTTGGTCCGTCTTTATCCCGTACTCCCAACTACTTCATTATATTATACTTTTCTCCCTTTTATTAACTTCTTTTTCACTATCGGTTTGGATGTTCATTTCTTCTCAAGTCTCAGATTAAGACCCATGAAATTCCAGCAGACCATATATAGACTTCTGTCATATTATTCCTTCTTTATATAGCTTTTATTCTCCGAGGAACAATGTAACAAGTCAGGTTTATACATTTACTTTCCTAACTAGATTTAAATGTAGGTAACCAGGTTCCACTACTTTTGATCACGTCAAAATTATGGTCATAAATGCAACGCATGACCATTTTTTATGGTTTTGTCATGTTCTTAAATAGGATTTCTGAATTCATTTGGTGTCGACTGTCCACCACAACAACTAAGTAATGATTGCTTTGTCATTTCTGAACGTACGTTGTGAAAGTTGGTTCTTTTGTGGGGTGGAGTAATAGATCAAGAACAGAAAACTCACTTCACTTGAATTAATACCGATAGGTAACCAGTGTAAACCGAATTGCTTAGCTAATTTTTGTGCTTCTACATATCCTTTATAAAACGGCGATTCACCCAGTTCTAATTCATCTAATAATATTTGATTTGATGTATCTGTTATATCATGTTCATCGTAGGCACAACGACATGTTGTACATGTCATTCTATAGATTAATAAAATGACAGAAGTATCAAAATAAATTGTACCTCCATGGATGTTTCGTAAATCCTTGACATGCTGGGCCGCATTTTAGACAAGCTTTTAAATTGTCTTGATCATATGCCATGACGTACAAGATAGTTTGGTATTTTCTAAAACAATCAAAAAATGAAATTGGAAAAAATGAATACATGCTCTAGTCAGTAGGAACAAATAACTCACAATCATGAGGTATTTTAAGTTCATCAGCTCGACTGATTTTCGGCACCATGTTCATTGATGCAAACAAACACGAAGCCTGCTAAATTTATGATTTTTCCAACAATATTCTTCTGAATAGATAGGAGAAATTACCATCATCTTCTGGGAAGCCTACTGCTTACCCTATCATATTATTTCTGAAGACAGTTGAGATACAAAAAATCGCTTCTTTTGGTTAGCTTAAATTCTTTACTTAATTTTTTATTCCTTTACGTTCCTAGTGGAATATAGGGCTTCAAGCTAGAGGCTTGAAGTTTCGGTAGTAGTGGTGTTTATTTTTATGAGATGGGGTTGCTAGCCTCATGCCCGATCTTCCCTCTTTACAAGTCTTCTTACTAGCTTAGCAAGGCAAAGGAAGAGTGAGTCGGCCTGGGATCGAACCCCGGACCACATGTAAGCGTGGCGAGCATCCTACCACTGTACCACCGATACTTTACTTAATTGGTGTTTCTTTAGTAATAACTAAGTTACTTTCTGAATTAAAAACTTATTTGTACTATTAAAGAATGCTTTAAGTAGACATAGGAGTACTATCATTTCTGAATTTCAAGAAAAGATCATACATGGATATACAGCTATCTATAAGAACTGAATTCAAGTAAAACGACATTTTAATTCCAGTTAAAATGAATCTTGAGATCTTATCACTAATCGTGTCCTGCCCTTGAGTGATAGTTCAGTAAACTGATCCAGTTGGGAAAACCGTGAAAGATGGCATTATGAATGTAAGCACTATCCAACTTTTTGAAAATACAAACCAGTGGTTCTCATAACAAAAATCTTCATATATGAAGTTTTAATAATTGCAGCAAAAAATATAACCATGTTCATCAAATTACTTACTTAGAAAATGAAAATGATATTAGTTGTGTTCACGAAATTCCACTCCAACAACTACTTTAATTTCCTCAACGATATATGTTAACAATAAAATTTAAATCTCATGTAAATTGATTAAATTTTATCGATTGTTTGTTGTCTATCACAACATACTGATACGTATATATATACAAGGCAGTTGATTGATTAACTTACTCAAATTAAGTGAGCTAAATATAGATGACAAATAGACTAAATAGTGCATTTAACTTTTACTTTCTTCTATCATTTTTTTTTGAAAAGCTTACGGATAAAGTCAGAGGAATAGTTTTGAAAAATAGTCAGAATTAAATGGAAAAACAGATAGTTAGACATTTCTCTTGTCTTCGCATTCATTTTTTCTCATTCGTCAGTCTTCTTCCAATGTTATATTATTATTGGTCCCTGAGAATATACTCTTAACTCAGTAGACCTCTCAAACTGCTGTAATTTTTTAAATCAATAATAACAAAGGGTATGTGCAAAATATATATGATGAAGTTATGAAACGACTTAAGTGAGCAGGTATGTAAACTGAATCGCGTGAATTTCAGCAGTTAACAATAAAGACCAGACGAGTGCCTTAAAATACTGCATGCATTATGTGATGTATGATTTTCCAGTTGTGCTTTTTGTGGCTTTTACATCAAGTTGTTGCTGTTATAGTACATGATTTGTATGAATTGTATTCATCTGAATTCGTGCTTGAATGCTTTCATTTTCTGTTTTCTTCAACAACAGATACAGGAATTGTTGCGTATTTAGTGTAGGATTATATTTGCCTAGAGATCTTAGTTCTCACTATAAATACTGACAACACAGAATCTAGCTTTTGCCATAGTTAAAATACAGGTGACTTAACATAAATTTAATCTGAAATACAAAAATAATACAGTCACGCAAAGTTAACAGTACAAGAAAGACTGTCACTCAAGGAAAGACAATAACATATCGAACAGTAATGACGTGTAGAACAAAATGACTAGTGAATCATATTTACATACATTTAAGAGGATAGAGTACAAGTCATACAAGGTTAAACCCTTGTTAAAACAACCAATAATCACATGATAATCATGGCAAACAGGGGTGGGTCGTATTGATTAGTGGGTTTCATAATATCTGACTGTCTATGTGACTGACATTAGTTTTGCTCTGATATCGACCGCATATCACACACATAGTGCCACTGTGATGTGTGGTGGGATAAATTCTGGCCTTGGGCCACTATTTAGGCAGAAACGGCTAGAGTTCTTCAGATTTGTTAACTAATTTATGTTTCTTTGATTATCCTGAAGGACATCACTGGATATGCACTTCAGAAGACAATATTTCATAAGCTCTAAAGCGGCTGCATTAGATCGAGTAGCGCCACAACATTATTTCTTGGCTGTCTCTGTCTGTTTGTTTTCAACACAGAACTTTGCACCGATGTGCAGCAGTTCAATTCGCCACACTCCATGTAGCACACAAATCAAGATAAGGAAGTAAAAAGAAATGCAAAATAGAGACAGTAAACAGGGATATGAGACAAAAGGAATAGTAGTTACGAAGAACAATATAGTTTGACTGGGGATTATAAGTCACAACGAGTGGATGCATCTGCGCCAGCCATTGAGGACGATTTTGAACCATATCACCGATTGTTTCCAGCCATTGGTTTCTACCGTGCCGAGGATCCCAACCAGGAAGTCTACAGCTTCCCACGCGGCTTAAACTAACTGTTGTGGATTTCATTGACTGATGAGGCCATGTTTTGGTTTGACCACCACTGGCTCTTTTCCAACCTGATCTATCCTATGTCAGCTAACATTGCCCATCGAGGAAGGCGGTGGCTAGGCATACGTAACACATGTCCTAGCCATCTCAGTCGATGTAGCTTAACAGCCTCATGGACTGATTTCCTCTCCTTACGTAGCACTCGACGCCTAGCCTCAGTATTGCTTACGCTACTATACCACCTCACACGGGAGATAGAACTCAGGCACCTATGAAAGACAGCTAGCCTTTTCATGTCCTCCACTCTCAAAGGCCAGGTCTCACAGCCATAAAGGATGACGGAGCGGACTGCTGAGGAGTACACCCGCTCTTTGGTCGATAGCCAGATATCACGTCTACTCCAGAGATGGCGTAAACTGGCATATGCGAAACGAGCCTTCTGTATCCGTACCCAGCTGAGAATTCTTCAGCGATCAATCCGCTGGCACTGGCTGATGCAGCTTCCCAAATAAGTGAAGCGGTCAACGTGCTGTACCACTTCAATTCCTATTTCTAAGCTACGAGTCAATGAAGTCCAGTAGAAATGTTCAGATATGATCAGCACACCCTCTTCCTGGTCTAAAGCCTGCCTGGTTCTCTTGTGTTTGTGCCTTCCGAGCACCGCTTAGTCTACGCACTATTATTGAGCCTAGAACTTTAGATACCATATTAGTCAAGCATCCACTGCATAGCCAGCTGTCACTGCAAAATATGTCGACGGACGAAGACGAATACCATCTTAAGGTTAATATGTATGACAAGTGTTAGGAGTTGGTGTACATATGTTCCAGAACCTATCAAAAGGTGAAATTTGCATCAATGCATTGTAGTTTGAGTGTGAAACACTGAAAATATCATGCAAAGCAGTTATTTCCTTAAAGAATTTAAACAAAACAGTGAGGAGACGTACTTTATTTGCATTTTGTAATGTCGTTGTGAAATTTCAATTGTTTATACTTCATTAACTTTTATGGAAATATATGTGACAAGTATGTTTGAGATTTGGTTGTTCAAAGTGTGCTTCACAACTACATTACAAGTTTCAGAGAAGTTACTCTTTCTTACTGTTTCGTTTTGAAAGGATTAGTTTTGTGGTGCTGGTGAGACCGGGTGGCAGCGTACTGAGACCGGTTATGTGGATGAGAGGTTTAAGAGTTTTTACCCTTACGGAAATTGCCCAACACTCTTGAAACAGGTTGGGAGGGGAGGTATTGGGTTACTTAGTTAACATGTTACATATGCTAAAACTCAATAAGCTATAACTGACTTACAAATCAAACTGGATCTTTGCATACAAGCGCAGCATTTGAAGATATTACATTTCGAAGCAGCAAACATAAAATAGGGGAATAGAAGCGTAATCATATTAAGAATCTGAAAGACGACAAGCAGAAATAAGTAATGTGGAATAATGCACAGCATAGTTGTCATCTAATATCTGATGTCACCGTTTCAGAATTCCAAAATAATCTTTCAGTGTTAGTGTGCACGGATTTTATTGACTTCTGATTAGACAGTGAACTGATATCAACTAGAGGACAACTGAAAACCAGGGAGAAGCGGGCACTCGTTTCTTTCTAGTTTGGGGACTTTTCGGCAGTAAGCCCCACTAATTTCACAGGGGGTGGAAATCAGGACCACGAGTGGTGGCCAGTCTGTTGACCATTCATTGAGACGGAATCCAGTAATACATTCACTTTAACATCTGTCAGTTCGTGTTACAGAGAGCAACCGCCATTCATAGTATTTGTCCTCAAAATTAACTCTGTGGAGCCTACTGGTCACAGTATCTCACTGGAACTTTCTGGCAAATTAATCCTGTAGTCGGTAACAAGTGGACATTATTTAGATTAATTTTCAAGTGGTAGCTTGTAGAGATTTTTGACTGACCTCAAGTTAGCTCACTGATATTAGTTAGTAATCTAACCCGAAAGCAATAGTAATTATTTGTTTGCACAAGGACGCCTCAATGAAATCAATAGTAGGTGAGATAGTTTATTTCATTAGATGTCTAAATTAGAGTCTGGTGGGTACATATGATTATGGTTGATTAGGCACAATTAACCATGCATTTGTAGGCTGTTTGACATAACTTATATTCAAATGGATAGTGACTGATGATTACAAGACTCAAATTAATTAAAAGAGCGGAAACAAGAATGTTCACTAAATCATGGGCGTACAACATCCAACCATTTTTGATAAACAGTCATTATGTTACAGTCAATAATTTAAAATCACCTCGTATTGTTTCCTTGACTTCCTTCCTGCTTTGTTTAATTACTAGAGAAAATGCTATTACTGTTGTTTATGATCAATGCTAGTAATGAAACATTCTTTTCATATATATATACTTTATTGCCTGAGGCATCAAGCAAACATCACTCTGTAGCGATAGGCTAAGTACTTTCCTTCGTCAAAATGAAGATACTAAACAATTTTAATCCTTTGAGTTGAATATTATGGAATCAAAAATTTATAGTTTGAATAATAAGAGTAATGACTGTTGGTTATCCATCTATTTATAGTAGGTAAGTATTCTCTTAAAGAGGTTATTGATTCAGAAATAAATTCTCTTCTACTTGTTATCACTCTTATTCTACTCTTGAAGTAGGTTTCAGGTAATGTTAAACAAAATGAGCTACGTGAATAAGTGAGTCAGTGCATTCACGTGATAGTCTTGGGAAAGGGAAAGAAGACAGAGTAAGTAATGCATGTGGCTATCAACCTATCAGGGCTTTTATGTTTATCACACAAAGTCTGCAAATTGTGAACCTGTGTCATAATCATGTACGGTATATTGATTTAGTCCAACAGGTTGCAGACCTTTATCAACAACTGTCTTCGCTCTATACTACTGAAGATCAGATGGCCGGAAAGAATCACCAACAAGAAACTAAGGGAACAAACGAAACAAGAACCAATCGCCCAACAAACATGCAGGAGAAAGTGGAGATGGATTGGACACTCGCTGAGGAGGCCATTGGGTGACATCGCACGTCAGGCCCTCGAGTGGAACCCGAAAGGGAAGCGGCGAGTGGGACGTCCAAGGGTGACATGGAGGAGATTGTGTGAAGAGGAGTTGAAACAGTATGGACTAACATGGATGCAGGTGAAAAGTACAGCAGAAGACAGAAGCAAGTGGAGACGTGCAGTTGAAGCCCTATGTTCCACTAGTAACCCAAGGGAACAATAATGATAATTGGAAGAGAATTAACGTTGACGTAGTGCCTTATGCTAGATAGTGGAGATGGAGTAATAATTCCTTAAAGCAGCTTTTCAGTG